AAATTAATCCAGCAGCAACACCTAAAATTAATTTGTCTTCATCTCAAAGCATAGAGATGAAGGCATTGTCAAATTTTGGGGGTGATTAGGGGTAGAGATAAACCACAATTATTTAAATACACATAGATGAGAGTCTTAAGTGTTGGTGAATAGCTTTGGAGATTCGACCAAATTTGAATTGGAGAGGAAGTACAACTCTTCTTTCTTTGTGTCTACTGCTTCAATATAATGAAGAATAAGTGTCAATAAATTTTTCATAGTGCTAATTCTATTGGTAGTGAACAATGATATTGCAGAGTCAAGTGAGTGGGGTGTCATAGACGAATCAAGATTGTGATGGACAAATTAACCAGGTGATGATCTATAAATTTGTTTAGAATTTTGGATAGATCGAAGATACAGATGAAAACATACATACTAAGAATATTTAAGTGGCATGGCTACTTAAAGTTTTTTAATGGAACTTTTAGGTGGCTGCTCATCTTACTTTGCCTAGATGATTTTCAGAGAAAAATTGAGAGGAAGGAATCATGGATAATAGTGGATTATGGATACAACAACAGAAGGAAGTTGTGGACGACTTACCCGCCAAATAAGGTTTCGAGAGAGAATAAATGACCAAATGTCTGATCACCCCATATTAGTTTTAAAAGAATATCGAAAATATCTCTATGTCTTAATCTTGAATATTGAACTGTGTCTTGGCTTTTTTTTTTCCATGAAATCTTGAGTAGTATTTAGTGGCAGGGGAGAATACCATTTTATACTTATTCTTTCTTTTTCCAATCTAGTTATAGATTGGTAGTTGGTAAATGAACTCAAGCAAGCAGCACTACCTGAGGATAATAAGATTACACTTTTATCAGTTAGTCTGATATTAAACATATTTTCAGTTTTGCTACTATGTTAGATTAGATGAGCAGTTAGTGTATCTGTTTGATGTGAAAAAACATTTTTTTTTTCCCATTTACCCATCAATCATGCATCAAATTATTAGCTCTAGCTGGTATGTTTTTTGTCTTCTGCTCTGTTTTGTTAGTGTTTATGTTTTAGATTTATGTCAAATGATTAATGGGTTGTAGTAATTCTTTGGAAAAACTGGTTCTTTAGAAACTTGCGGTTTTACCCAGAACTAAATCTTTGTGAATAAACCTCATTCTCAAGTTAGAAAACTGTAATATGTAGATTTTGTTACGTAAATTGCTCAACTGGGATTTAGATGGGTTGATCCAATGTTTGATGAATTGCAACTGAATTGTCTAATAATTTTTTTTGCTTTTGGATGATAAATAATTTGGGATCGTATTATGAACTTTTATAGTTTGGATAAAAATAAAATTTTGATTTCTTACTGAATGATTCATTGGTTTTAAATTGGTGATTGACATTGGATTGTTGTTTACCTATCAAGCACAATTATTTCTCTTCATCACAGGGAATTACAATTTCATATGGTTCCATATGTATGCACAACAAATCAATGGTAGTTCAGGTATTTTCCGCGATCTTTCGCAATATATTCTTATTAAAGATACTAACTACGGAATCTATTCTACTATGAAGTAGTTCTATTTGGTTAAAATTGTTTGAGTTGAAGTGGAACTTATTTGGTAGATAACTCAGTTTATACATAACCTATTTAATTTGATTGACTATTCCCTCCTTAGTATTTTGCCAATGCATTGCGGGTTTGGAGAGTTGACAAAGAGTTGGTTATTGTTTTAAGGTGAAGTTGTCCGTTAGAATAATCTACAATGAGATTAATTATGTCAGTCATTTGTATTCAGTCACTGTAACTGAATGGACGCAAAGATGAACTAAAAAGGGAAATGTCTAAACTGTTTACTATTGAGATAGACAACTAGAGAAGAACAGCCTTTGTTATCGGGTGACCTATAGGCTGTCAGGAAAAATTTGAACGAACTGTTTTCACCAAAATAGTGCAACCTCTTTAATCTCATATCTGCCTTAGAAGGAAATGTCTTTTCACCAAAGTAAAAATGGGATATCTAAGTCTGTCTGTCTGAAACAGCCTTGGCTACATGTTTAAGTAGATTAGTTATAGTGAAGGATTTGAAAATACGTCATACTGAAAATAGACATAGTATGTTTGGGGTATTATTGAGCAGTATTCTAAGACTATTTTGGTTGAAATTGTGAACTACCTTCAAATGATTATACTCTTGAGGTGACAAAAACAATTCAATTCAAACCCAAATTGGGTTCCAGTTAAGTGCAACCCTTTTACCCCGAAGTTGCCCTTGAAGTTCTTAATAATTAATATATGGTAGAATAGGGTGAGTTAGGCTTCTTTACATTTTCTGTGAAACAATATATCTCTGCAGATGCTCGAAAAAACTTACTCAAGTTTCTAATGATGCAGGCGTGACAGATAGACCCATTGTCAATTGCTATGAGTTTCACAGTCAATAGACAATTTTCACAAGTGGCAGGTACACTGAACCTAGCAGATGTTTGCAGGGGGCATGAGCTGTCAACTATGAATTATGCTACTGGGTGTATATTGAACTATGCCATGGATATTACAATCTTCGTATTTCAAGTAAGGAAAAATAGGAAACAGAAAAAACTAAATTCACTTATTTTCTAGCATTCTAAGGAGCCTAACATAATTGAAAGCATATCTGATCAACTATAATTTTTTTTATTTCTTCACTGAAGGAAACTTTAGGCTTTTGTTACGTCAATACGATTACAATTTTATTGTGTATCTAATGTTAAATTAGACAATATCAATTTTCATTTCTCTTTGATACAATTCCTTCCATCAATCGATTTTTTTCTTCTCTTATTCAAAGTTAGTTCATTTTGTTGATACTATATCAAAGCTAAATTTTGATGACTAGATAATACTAGGATAGATTTCGCTGACTGATTTACTTGGCTGACTGGGTTTGTAGAAGTGTTTGTAAATCTTATTTCAGTTGGTTAGAGCGTGTGGTTTTTAAACCACAAGGTCAAAGGTTCAAGCCCTTCCTTCAGCATCTTCAATAATAACTTTGTCATTTGGCATAATGTTCATAAATTATTATAAAACAATAACTCGGCTACTATAAATCCAAAATTCAAGGTTTATAACATCCAAAGTTCAAGATATATACATGTATGTATTAGATTTTTTTTCATTGCATTGAATTGATTAATTCGATGTTCAATTTGTACTTTCAACAACAAGTGAACTGAAGTGAAGTGAAGTGAAGTCTGAGCATCTTGTACAAGTGATTTTATGTTTCTTGAGTGGATCAAACATCATTATCTCAAACAAGGCAGTTCGTTGTTAGGTTTTAGCCATTTTATGGTGTTCTAACTTTCTAGAAGATAGATCTAAGAAAACCCCTACCATCAACCACACTGCTGTCAGTTTGAGTTGTGTTTGCACCAGTTTAAGTTCCAACATCCCTTTCTAAAGCTGCACAGATCAATTTCTTCTCCAACTTTTTACTTCATACCAATTTTCCATATAGTAGTACTGTGTTCTCTTGTTCTAAGCCTACTATAGTTCTATTCAACTCCTTTTCGTCAGTTCATTTAACTCTCTGGTCCTTCTTCATTTTATTCTTATTGTTCTTATCCTTTTTGTATGAATATTAACTAATTGCAGGTACAGCAGAGGGTCATTGCAGTTTTCCAACTACCCAAGATCAGTAATACACATTTATTGCAAGTCTTCTGCAAACAAGAGTCAAGTCCTACAGACTTTACTACAACTCTGCCACAGCCGTCCTCAAAGATCTCCATTTTCTGCAAGTCTTCTGCAAACAAGAGTCAAGTCCTACAGACTTTACTACAACTCTGCCACAGCCGTCCGCAAAGATCTCCATTTTCTGCAATACATTAAGCCTGTGCCAGTTCTGAAACTCCTTTAACACCCATCTCAGCACCATCAGTTCATTTAGCTCTTCTAACTCATTATCATCTCAGCACCCTCACATCACCATCACATC